GGTTTTCTTGGCAAAGATACTGTAGTGGTTTGCCATTTCCTTCTCCCCCTCATTTTATGGACGAGGAGAGGCAAACAGGGTTAAGTAACTTGCAAGGGGTCACACAGCTAATGTCTGCAGCTGAATTTGAACTCAGGTATTCTTGACTCCAGTCCTGGTGCCAGTCCAGTCTTAACTCTGTCCAAGGCGCCACCTTGTTGCCCCATCAATAATCATTGATTATTGTCTACTGCATAACAAGCAGTACTAGGCACTGGAAATAAAGACAAAAGTGAAAATAGACTCTGCTCTCAATAATCTTACATTCTATTATTCACATTCTATTATTCATAAGCCACCACTTGCCAGAAAATGCCCGAACTCTTTCAATTGACATTCACTATTTGCCTGCAATCTACCTTTTCCTCATCTCTAGCCACCCCTCTTCAGACATCCTGCATCCCCACCAAACTGAACTATTTGTCATGTTCTGAGAACATGCCTGATGCTTTCTTGCTTTTTCTCATAGAATCATGTATTTAGAGCCAAAAGGGATGTTAAAGATCATCTAGGCCAATTCCCTTCATTACAGAAGAGGAAACGGAGGCCCAGAGAGGGGAAGTAAACTGTCCAAGGGCACAGTTCTCTTCATTCTGTATGAAGACTTGGTACACTTAGAGTTAAATAGAAAGAATCTATCAGTGAGTAATCCATAGGTGGGGTCTTTGTTTGGCTTTTGTTGAGGTTTTTGGTCATTTCTCCTGCTTTGCATTTTGACTATGCCATAGTGCAGTAATGAGGAACCAGAGGAGAGGATCGCTAAGTGAGACGTCACACTGACAGAAAGAGAGCCGGTGATGAGAAGTTGGAACCACATAAAATAACTTGGCACAGGCCAAGTTTGTAACCTTGTGTCTGTTTCTCTCAGTTTTATCATTGTGGTATAGAATCTTTTCTCACTTTCTGAGAAAACACAAAAGAATTAAGGAAAGTTGATGAAAGCAAATACTTTGAATTAAAGACTCCAAAAGTGGTTTCCTTATTTCATTGTGCCTGATGACATGAATTTACTATATTCCTGCTACTGACTCCATTCAGTTCCCAGGGCAGATCAAAGCAAAGAGGAATAATTAACCATGTATTATTTTGAGCCATCTCCCTTATTCCTTAATTCTGTCTAACTATTATTTGAAACAGAGTTATTTAAATTTTTAGAAATGTTCATGTCAGAATCATATACTATCAAAATTGGAAGGGACCTCAGAGGATACCAGGCCAAGAATCCCCTCAATAACATGCCAAGAAATAGTCAATTCAGCCTTTGCTTGGAGACCTCAAGTTCAAGTCTACCTACTATCTCCTTACGCAGCTGAGTCTGCCTCTAGATAAGTCTAATACTTGCTAAAACATTTTTTTGCTCCTAATTGCCAAAAATCAATATTTTACCCATTTTGACACAGAACATATCTTTTCCATGTAAGAGTTCTTCAAGTACTTGAGTAATCCTTTCCTTTAAGCATTTTCTGCCCCAGGCTAAATGATCCCAGTTCCTTGGACTGATGATGTTTGTATGGCATGATTTCAAATTCCTTCACCATCCTGGTCACTCCCCTCTGAACTCTCTCTAGCTTATCAATATCCTTCTTACAATGTAGCTTTCCAAAATGATCACAGGACTTCATCTGTGGCCTCACCTAGGCAAAATACAGTGGAAGTCTCACTTGCCCCCACTTCTCCAACTAGATTGGAAGCTCCTCAAGGGCACAGATGTTATCTTCTACTTCTCTGTGTTTCCTTCAGTATACAGCACTGTGCTTTTGTTGATTTTTATTTTTCATAGATATATTATTATGAGTATAATCACAATATGCAACATTTATTTAAAACCTTAAGGTTTAAAAAGCACTTTACAAAGGTTATCTGTGTGCTTAACACAGTGCCTGAAAAATAGTAGATGTTCAATAACTGCTTATTAATTGATCCTTACAATAACCTTATGAGGTAGGTGTTATTATTATTCCTACTTTAGAGAGGAGAAAAATTAGTTTGAAAGTTGTAACTTGCCCAGGGTCACACAACTAGTAAGTTTCTGAGGCTGAATTTGAACTCAGATTTTCCTGTCTCCAAATCTAGCATTCTGCCCACTTCACCACCTTGCTACCTTCTCAAAATTCTGCTATGGTATGCATTTTATCCTACGAATCCAGAAGTCACTCACTATGCATTCTCAACTCTCTAAGACAAGAGTCCTTAACCTGGAGTCCAAGAACTTGTTCTTTAAAAATATTTCTCTAACTATATTTCAATATATTAATTTCTTTTGTAATCCTATGTATTTCATGCCCTTAAAAGCATTGTTCTGCAAAGAGGTCCACAGTCTTTATGAGGCTATCATATGAGTCTATGACATAAAATGGAGTTAAGAATCTTTGTTCTAAGATATGACTGAGTCTCAGGATAAGTTGTTGTTGTTGTTGTTGTTTTTAAAGGCCTATGGATAGACAAAGTAAATATTGAAAAGACCAAAGTTAATACCACCAAGTCTAGAGTTAATACCACAAAGTCCTTGCAATATGGGTCATGCAATCTACACATAGTAGAACCCCCTAAGTATCTCATTCAGATCCTATTCACTTTTATTTTAGACACAATTTTAAGAAACTTTACTTTCTGGTTCCCAACCCAAGGCAGAGTATTATCACTAAATTAGAAAGTTGGTTGAGAGAAGGAACCGTTAGAGACAAGCACAGTGACAACAGCATAAAGTGAAAGCTTATGATCTGACTGCAATGAATAGACAGAAAACCAATAAAAACAGACACAAAACCTCAAAAGCCCAATCCTGGTCCCATTTAGTGTACTGGCCCTTGAGGCCACTAATATATTATTGCATAATATTCATTATCCAGTATATTTTGGTTCAGAAAATTTGGAAGTATAATAATTTTTATTTTATTTTTAAAATGCTTCATTGAGAACTTTTGTTTTAACATGATAGTCATTTTGGGGACTAGCCCTGACCACTCTCACATTCAATATTCCCTCATAACAAAGAAAATGGTTCAATAAAAATAAATGATACATCTGATGATATATGTAAAATTCTGCATCCAGAGTCCTCTACCTCTTGGCCAAGAGGAGAGACCTTTGTTTCATTATCTATTCCCCATAATCAAAATTGGCCTTTATAGGTATTCAAAGCTAGTACTCTTTTTACAATTCTTTTTCTTTATATTATTGTGTCCCTTGTGTATGCTGTACTTCCTGTTTCTACTTACTCTACTCTATAATGCTTCATTTGTCTTCACAGGAATTCTTCATATATGTTATTTCTTACCACAAAATAATATTTTATCACACTCATACTCCACATTTATCTAGCTATTTACCAAACAATGGATACCCACCTTGTAATATATTTTATAAGAAGTCCCATCAAAGATAATTAAAATGTTAAAATCTTTGCCCTTTAAGTGGATAAGTTTCAGTTATTTGGAAAACTCATCCATGTAGAACAATTCATTCTTTGGTGATGTTGGATAAAGGGAGTATTTGTGTAAAATTAGATAATGAGCAACATAGTAAAAAGAACACTAGACTAGAATTCTAGTCTAGACACCTGGATTCTAATCTTAGCATGGCCTCAAATTAGCTTTGGAACTTTGTGTAAATTCCATTGTCTTTCATAGTCTGTTTACTCATCTCAAAAATGAAGGGGTTTAAATAGATCTTTAAGGTTCCTTCTAAATCTAAATCCAAAAGTCTTGCCACTACATCATAATACCTTTTCCTATCTCAGAGAGAGGCTCTACCTTCTTTTCTCCTTAGTTCATTAACTTTTATTATAATAGACTAGGAACTTAGTAGATGTTGGTGGCAACATCTCTTGATCTATTGACTGATATGTCATTTAAGAACTGTATCTTTTCACACTGCACACATGTCCTTTACATACACTTTTTCAATTTCCTACTCACTTTGCATCCATGTTTTTTACCCTTGGGCTAGATTGGTAGAGGGAGTACTCACATGGAAGAAATCAAGATCTATGGCAATGTGGTGTAGTGGAAAGAGTGATCTCGGTTTTCTCTTCTATAAAATGAGGGAATTGGAATTAGAAAATCTATAAAGTCCTTTTCAATCTGTAAGTCAATGATCTTCTTTTTCAAAATTAGAATTTAGAGTTTTTTACACATATTACCTCATCTACCTAATTTTCTTTTTTTAACCCTATCAACTAGTTATGAAAATGATTCCTTAGACTATTTTCTTTAAACATTAAAAAATTAATTTTCACTCTAAACAAGCTTTTATGATGGAGCATTTACAATGAGAAAGACCCTAATTATTCTCTTCTCATCCCCTCTTCTCCCTTTTCCTTCTTTCCTCTTTTTTTGGATAGGATATTAAATGATATTGACATAGACTCATATGTTGCTATACTAAAATTAACAGTTCACATTTTCAAGAATATCCAAAATCACTTATATAGAATACAGTGTCCCAGTGATAATTTGAAAAATAACAAAGCTAGTGCAAATATAAGTGGTTTTTAGAACAAATATTCAAATCAGCATTGCCAGATTATATATGAACCTGATGCCTGATATTTTTGTAAACCCTAGTTCCTGGTTTTTCCTTCTTATGAAATGTCATTCTTGACAATGAGTCATGGTTGTAAAATGTATGCAAATTCTAAATAATAGGAAAAGGGAAAATTTCAATTGATGTTTTATCAGGGTGTGTGTGTGTGTGTGTGTGTGTGTGTGTGTGTGTGTGTGTGTGTGTGTGCTTTTTTTTTGTTTTTTGGTTTATTTTTTACCCCAGAACAGGAGGAAATTGAAATTTCTGTGTATGATCATGGCACAAATTTATGCCCTTCATCCCAGTTTCAGCAATAACACTCCCATTCCCTCAAATTTAAAAGGGGAAAATATAGGGCATAGATTTTTTTCTTCCTCTAAAAAAATTTTTATTCTCTTAATTTTTTCCTTTTTTTCTCTTTTAACTTTTTTCTTCAGCACTGCAAATATTCCGGGATATATTGGCAAGGTTCATTTCACAGCCACCCACCCAGCAAATTCTGATATTCCACCAACAACCCCAGCCACAAGTTCAGCAGCTCGACGGTAAGTGCAAAGACTATTATTCAATTTGTTCAGATACATTAGAAGGAAAATCCTAATTATGGTTATTTCATTAAAGAACAATTAAATACTAAAAATAAATTTGCTTTGGTTAAAAAAAATGGAAGAGTATCCTTTTTTTTCATGAGAAAAGATGGGTTCATTTTCACACTCCAAGGGATCAGTATCAGTCCTCACCAGTCAGGGTTTAAAAAGTTGACGTACGTGGAAAGAAGAATGAGCTTGCTTTGCTTTAGCTTGGACTCAACCTTGCTACTTAGACTTGCAGTTCTGCATTTCAACACATGTACCTGCATTAACCAAATAAATGCATGCTGTTTAGAAGCCATGTACATTTTTCATTTGTCTGTGAATCACTTTTTTTCTGGGAATAATTGCATTATTTCTCAGAAAACAGAAAATTCTATTGAAGATAATAACCATCTTTCAAACATCACATTTGCAAATTGAAAAGAACAGCTGTTAGATGCTAGCTTACTGAAAGCTCCTTGGTTTGAAGCTGCCAGTAAAGAAACAAACCGCTTTATTGCTCATTATAATTCAAATTTGAAAGCACTTTGCTAGAAGCCTTGGTCTTGGAAATAAAAAAAAAAATGTATTGCTGAAAATGTAAATCCAGGTCTCAAATAGATTCAGAATGACTCTTTTCACAGATAAAAGCAATGGTATAATCTGGGATAGGTCATTACTCTGACCAGATAGGACCCAGAGAATGCCATCAAGCCATCAAAAGGACCTTTCTTTTAGGTATTGCTGGTGCTGTTTCCTTGGCCAGCACAGAAAGTGCCATCGAGTTACTAGTGATTTTTTGAAGCCCTGCCTTCAAATGACTGTAAGGGTACAAATGTGAATGTGCTGCTGGCACTTGGTTTCCATTAAGTGTATAAATTAGTGACATTTTGGTCCCTGGTTCAAATTTGATAAGGTAAAGAAACTATGAAACTCCAAACTGTAATTGATTCTGAAAATGTGACCAAGGCACAAACCAATATTAGAGGTGTTGGTCCACAATGACTCATCAATAACTGATTGGGGAAAAAAAAAACTGTGCTGTTTAAAGTTCAGTTGTTTGCTTTAACTTGGTTATAGTGCCAAATCACTCAAAATTATCTGTCTCTTTGCCTGTCTCTATTCATCCATCTACCACTCTGCATCTACCCATCTATCATCTATCTATCCATCCATTCACCTATTTATCTCTAGCAATCCACCCATCCCATATACTTAAGTATCTTTTATCTCTTTCTCTATTTTTTTGTCCAAAACAGAGCATGGACCTATAGCTACTGTTGTGAGAAAGTAGCATTAACTTTGATAGTAGGTACAAATTTAAATCTGCCAGAATTTTTCCTGGACCACAAATTTTACATTAATCCTTTAGATATTCAATATGTGAAAGAGATATTGTATTTGATATAAGAAAACCTGAATAAATACTAGTGCTGTGTTATGAACATAGAAGGAGAAAAAGAATAGAAAAGAGTGTCAGTGAAGCATTTTAAAAATGCACATTGTAGAGCAGAAGGTTCAGAAGCAAATGCAAATAAGCAGGACCCCTTTGGATCTAACTTGCTGAATTTAGTACATACTTTAAAAAACCAAGATGTGCATAATGGATAGTTTCATATACAGTACTCTTTTTGTTCTTTGTATATGGAAATATTCATGTTTGTTGGTATATTCAAGCTCAGACTAACAAAACAAATTAAATAAAACAGCGTATGGGAGGATACTAAAAACATCCATATATCAGGTGGGACATTTATAAATTCAAATTAACTCAGTACAGAAGAGGGCAATCAGGATGATGAAGATTCTTGAGTTGATCCTATATGTAAATCAACTGGAAGGAATGGGGATGGTTAACTAGGACAAGAGACGCCTGGGAAGGGAACAGGGGGAAATGATAGCTGTCTAAAATATATAGTATTTTAATTGTATCAAATAAGGTTTATACTTGTTCTGCTTGGCCCCATGGGCCAAATGGCAAAGGGCAAATTTAGGTTTGATATGAAGAAAAAAAAAACTTGTTAACAAATAAAGCTTTCCAAAAATGGAATAGGCCTCTTAGGAGGTAGTGGGTTTTCCTGTACTGGAGTTCTTTGAACCAAGGCTGGGTGACCATTTATTAGGCATGTTGTAGAGGGGATTATTTTTCAGGTATAGATTGGACTAGATGGCCACTGAGATCTCTTCTAATTTCAAAATTCTATGATTTTGTCCATAAACATTCATTTTGAAGTGGATGGGGAGAATATCTTCTCTCCCCCATTTGCCCCCTGGGATGACTGAAAGATTGTATTTTCTCCCTTTGTTGAATCAGGGAGCCATCTAAAGTGGAAAGGGTCATCCATCTTTAAAAAAGGGAAGCACAATTAGGGACATATTATAGATATGTTCAGGTGAGGTCTCAGGGGGTGTACCCATCAAAAGACTTGGAACTATCTTTTTGACCATATTTTCCTAGATAGCACAGTTCAGAAAATCACAGTGAAGTCATACTTCGTGTTGTTATCTTTTTTCTGCTCAAGGGAGCCGTTACAGCTATCTTATTTTCTTTATCAATAGGGGAAAGTGGACAGCTGAACTACATTAGCAGCTTTTAATACTTCAATATTTAAATTGCTTATTAATAATATTTCATGAGTACCTATGTATTTGGCACGGCACTAAATGCTCCACGATGTTAGTTAAAGAAAAGCAAGGCTCTTGCTTTCTAAGGGGCCCCACTATCTCTTCATCACTCTGGTTCAGAAGAATTGAAAGTGTACCTGAACTTAGATAAACCAGTACTTTTCCTGTTATGACAAAGTTGAGACAATAGAGAACAGAAGGCAAAGGCAAAACCCAACACAACAAAGATCTTCAGTTTTATGGTTTGAACTGTCAGTTTGCTGTAAATCCAAGTCTTCAAATGCCACCCATACCCACAAGGTGCAGCTATGTTTTTGTAGAGTTTACTTAAAGATGAATTAACTTCCAGGCAATAGGATTTGGGCATAACCTTTGAGAATTAAGCAAAACTGAATATTTTATTTATTTCATGTGAGGAAGACTTTTAAAAAAGAGACAAAACCAGCATTAAAATCAATCTTCTAGCTATAGTTTATGTTTGTTCTCAAAAAGAGAAATATTTACTATCATGTGATTGGCTTACTTAATAATCCATCCTTATGCCACTGGGAATTTAACAAGTCCAACAAAAATATTCAGTGGTTCTGACTCACCACTGTAAATCTTCATGGTGGAACCTCAGTCTTTGTCATTAATGAAGTATCCTATGGCATCTTGAAAATCAAACATTCCAAATTTATGGGTCATCTTCATTCTGATTTAACACATAGAGTTGTGCTACAAAAATAGAGAAAGTTCTTTGCCCTGATCAGACCATATCTGCAGTACTGGGCTCAGTCATGGATGTTACATGGAGGACATGGGCAGGACTGAGCATGCCCGAAAGAGACTGACAACAATGGGGAGAGAATTGGAGATCATTCTATATGAAGATTGGTTGAATCTTTTGCCTGGGGATCTTTTGCCTGAAAAGCAAAGAAAGTTGCAGAGAAGCAAATTTCAGCTAGATGTAAGGAAAATTTTCCTAACAATTCATAACACCATTACCCTGTTCTGTCTCCATAATCTCAAATTCTAACATTTCATTTTATGTTGATAAACTTTATTTATTGCTTTCATCTCTCCCTCAGGCCCATTTGTCTTGAACCAATTCTTCATCCTTACCATGACTTCCATTCCCTTTATCATTTCTGTTTTCTCTATCCATCATCTGTCTTTTGGTCTCAGGTTCTACTTTTCACAGTCTTGACCCTATTGCTTATTGGTTCAATTATACTCTTGAATCCCTTGCCCTCTAGTCCTACCTGGCAATCCTAAACATTGGATGACCTTTGCTTGCTTTGCTTCCCCTCTGATGTTACGATATGCCATTGGGATGTTATAAAACTGTGCTGACTAGGTCCATTACAAATTTACTCTACTTAAATAGAGAGACAGTGTGATGTGATGGATAAAGAACCAACCTGAAAGTTAGGAAGGCCTAGTAGCCAGTTCAGCCTCTAGTACATACTAACTTTATGATCATGGGTAAGTCAATTAACCTATGCTCCAGCTTCTGAGTAAGAGGTAGCCCTCTTCCTTGTCAAGCTAATCCCTCAGTTGCTTCCTTTATTTCATCTCCTCTTGTTTACTCCAGGCTCTTGTGTCAGGAATCATTTCTTCCTTCTCAGTCATCTTTAGTCTTTCTCTTTCTACCTGTTTCCTTCCCTAACATCTACAAATATAGCCAGGTTTCCCACATACTTAAAAAAACCCTCCTTTAACTCTGCCATCCCCTCAACCTGTTGGCCTGTATAGGAACTCCCCTCCCTTTCCCTGCCAATCTCCTAGAAAGATTTGTCTACTCTCCTTCATCTCCACTTCCTCACCACCTACACATTTATTTCTTATGCTGCTTTCTGACCCTACCACTCTACTAAAACTGTTCTCTCCAAGGTTTCCAAAGAACTCTTAACTATTGAATTCTTGACTTCTCTTTAATTTGAGGATATTAATTAGCCTCTACTCCTGCATATTTTCTTCACTCCTGGGTTTTGCAACACCACTCTCTTCTTACTTTTATGACCACTTCTTTTCATTTTTCTTTGATATTTCCTCATCCATCTCCTACCCCCCAAGCATGTTGTCCTCAAGAGTCTAGACTAAACCTTATTCTCATTTGACCCTCTGTCCCTTTGTGTTCACCACCTTCATATGTTCAATTATCAGTTTCATGTAGATAATTCCCAAATCTATGTAACCTAAATCTGTATCTATCTAGGAAGCTAGCTAGTTGTTGCTCTGTTTATCTCATCTCTGTCCTTAACTCTAGTCATCTATTGCTAACTGATAGCAGGATATCTCCACCGGGAGCTCCCATTGACATCTTAAACTCAGTGTGTCCAAAAGGAAATTATATTCTTTCCCTA